GAGCAGCATTGTATTACTCAACTGGATTAGTAGTAGTAGCATAACCAGACGGCGTATGGAACGCCTGCCATCTCCAGAAGTGCCCACTGAGCCAGGTAGCTCGGAAATACGACGAGAACGCCGCCAATCCAGGCCATGAAGCCCATTCTGCGAGAATTTGTGACTTCATCGTCTCGTACTCATTTCTATCGGCCGTGAAGTGAAGATTATGCAGATCGCGCAGCACCATAGCAAACAGCGAAGGTTCTAGTCCCTTGGCCTTCTCATATACATTTTTGGCGACATCGAAATAGCACATTAGATGTACCAGCAAACAATCTTCCCCAAAAACTTCTTCAACTGCGTTCCGTTGTCCCTTGTCCGCGTCAGCCATCACGAAGTGCACCAGGAGTGGCTTACCCACGACTCTTTGATACACGTAGCGCACGGCGCTAAGGGCTTTCGCGTGGTGAAACTGCTTTTGCTGCGACTTAACCACGACAGCAACTGGATGAAAGCTGCGTGCTTTGTCCGAAATGCCGATCACTAGAACTGGGTATGCAGCTTGGCTCAACTTGTACGTAGCGTCGTGGTGGAAGATAAAGGAGGCTGGGTCACGATCCAACCGATGCAGCAGCGTCTTTCTAGTTACTCCAACAATAAAAGGAGAATCGTCACAACCATTTCCAACAATTGGACGCCCAGATGGGTCATTTTCTGGCGTGAACGTGAACGGTTGGTTCTCGTCTTCGTCTCCAGTAAATGCGACTTCACGTATCTTTGTCTTTAATGACTTCAGGAAGTCATTGTTGTGCAAGTGAGACGCAGCATAATTATGCACAAATCGCTGCACTTGAGACAGCGGAGGCAATGAGGCTTCGTCGAGGTTAAATCATCTCAAAAAGCCGCTTCGAATGCGTGACGGCTTAAACCCTTGGGCAGCCCACTCACGAGCAACCTCCTTCATGGCGCTGGTGAGGCGAACACGCGTTGGCGACGGCGCAGGAGATACGTGCGTGCCTGCCTCTTCCACCTTCATGAGGTTAAGGTGCTGGCAGGCGAGGGTCTTGCCTCTCCAAAGACACGGCATGACTGCGTAACACATTTGGCAGTTACAGACTAGGAGGCGTACACGCATTGCGTGTGGAGCTGCGCGGTTACACAGTCCACACGAAACGAGGTGGCTCTTTGTCACCTTGAAAGCCTTCAAGGATTCCAGCAGCATCTCTGCATCGCTGGTGGCCATGACAGGGGTGATGGCTGTCCAGTTGATCTTGCGGGGCATCTTGGAGGCGGGTTTAGTGGGGAAGGCTTGGTGTTCGTCGAGGG